TCTCCTCTCTCTGCCCAGTCCAGGTGAGACCCCGGCGCACATCGGTGGCACCACCCTGTTCGGCGATAATGTGGAGGATGAGTGGTTCATTGTGTACCTGGTCCGGGAGATCACCAGGGAGTTCCCGGGATTGGCAGCCATGTAAGGGGGTCCTGCTGAAATGCCCAGTGGTTTGGGAGGGGTGTGAAGGGGAAGTGCCTGTATTCTGAAGGTCCTGTCTTAATATTCCCTGATCTTGGAGGTGTTTCCCCATTCTGTACACATCTGAAGTGTCCAARGCCAGGCTGGGATAGTGGMAGGTGTCCCTGCCCTTGGCAGGGGGTTTGGAACCAGATGATCTTATGGTCCCTTCCAGCCTAAGCRTCTCTGTGATTTTATGAATATTAAAAAATTCCCAGTAGTCATGGGTTCAGAAGCGTGTTATTGTGCACTGCAAGGCTTTCCCTGCTAAGAAACCGATTTCTTCTTGACCAGGATTGATGACAACGATGGAGAGTTTCTCTTGATAGAAGCAGCTGATTTTCTCCCAAAGTGGCTGAATCCTGAGAATAGTGAAAACAGGGTGAGTAAAACTTSTGTACAGTTGGCAAGGGGCTCACAGTGGCTTTTTATGCAGCAGCTGGAGTTTTTTCTTGCACCTTTAGTCAAGTGGTCTGATTCTCTCTGAAAATCCAGAGTGCTGTCTCTCCCTTACTGTTGCTCTTTTCAGGAGCACTCCCATATCCATCTGAGCTTCCTAGCTCTGCTATAGGCCACTTGGATTTTTTGGTTTTTTTTACCATATTCTGGAATGTTTGAACAAGAGGGTTTGCTGCCCTCAGAGTGGAATATGCTCAAGGCTGGAATGTTGCTGGCTCTGTAGGGATACAGGCTTTTTCTAGTATAGGTGAAATAATGAGCAGACATCTTCACCTGGACATGGATGGTTGCTAGTAGCCATGTCACTGGCAGTGGATTAAAATGGAAATAATTAACTTGGTCATTAGCAAAAAATTGTTTARTTATTTTTCCCTGACTCCAAGACTCTTAAAAGGGATGGAGCACAACACAAAAGTTGTTTGCAAACGTGTACCTGGGCTATCAGGCCCATATTTTCCTTCTGCATGAAGGAATAGAGTGAGGAAGCTAAGAACATTGCATTCTGGGCTTAGGATCAGGAGCTAGTGGAGGATACATGTAGCACCTGAAATAATGGTTTTTTGTCCCTGTGATGTTCTTCAAAAGTTAGGTTGTGGTTATTTTTCTGAAGCAATTCTCTGCTTGAAGAGAAATTTGATATTATTGCTGTTGAAGAAACAAGATATACTTGACCAAACTTGTTGCAGTTAAAATAGGGGGTTTTGCTGGTTGGATGCTGGTCTCTGGCATCTCTGTGTACTTCAAATAACTTTTTTAAAAAACTATGCTGCTTCTTGATTCCTTCAGTACTCTCTGTGTTTAAGCAAATGCTTTTGTATACAAAATTCAAYTTTCCATTGCTTAATGTGTGCCTTRGCCTGTCTGATGAGAACATTCCTGTCTGCCAGGTGTTCTTTTACAAAGGAGAGCTGCACATCATTCCACTGTCAGAGACTCCAGAGCAGGACTGTGACYTCTCTGCTCCCTGCCCCACCATCCCACAGGCACTGCGGCTGTTGTCTGCCCGYTCCGAGGAGTTCCTGGCCGCAGAGCCCATCCGAGCTGCGGTCTATAAACGTATCGATGGGTAAGTGGGTGCTTCATTTTGGTCTTCTGACACGTTGAGTTCTGATCCTCTGCTATTGTGGGTTTAAATATCCCTGAGAGATGTGATAAAGTTGGTTCCTTTTCAGAAATTGCCAGCTAGAGGTTTTTCTGTGGCACTCTTGGAAAGAGGGAGACCAGTGTCCCATAGGCTCTGAAACTGGTTCACTGCTATGATTTCACACCTGACAATGACAAGAGTTACTCTTCCTTCACATCCTTCTTTTACTGAAACATATGAAAATTCCGTGGTCTCTTAGGAGCCCTCTGCAGGAGGAAAAAGAGGATTTGACCTGTAGAACCAGCAGGATTTTCAGAGCTTTGGCTTGTCACGGCTGTGTTCAGCCCCAAACTTTATTTTTTGCAAGGATTTGAGAGCCTAACTTTTACGGAGTATGTTGAAGGATACTGCATAGCTGGGAATGCTGGTTAACTTCACAGTCACTCATCTGACCCATGTGGGGATTCAATTTTATCTGCCATGTACATTTATATAAATGTACTGTAGAAACAGACATTCTAGGCAGTAGTTTGYCCAAGTTTTAACAGAATAATCTTCTGACCCACAATGCGGATAAATATTAAAGTGAAAATGTGCCGCATAGTTAAAAAAAGAGTAGTTTAACTTGCAATATGCTTCCTACACTCTTGTTGTTCAGGTATCCCGAGAAGATCCAGGCCTCGTTGCACCGAGCCCACTGCTACCTCCCGGCAGGAATTGTGGCTGTGCTCAGACAGCGCCCTTCCCTGGTGGCTGCTGCAGTCCAGGCCTTTTACCTGCGGGATCCCGCGGATTTACGGCCATGTCGGCGCCCTTTCAGAACCTTCCCTGCAGACCAGCGGGTGATGGCCCTGGTAAGTGCTCTTCTGAAGCCCATGATGACCCCGCTAAATGCTCTTCTAAAGCAACTTGTCACTTAATTCCCTTCTGTACTAACAAGAGTTCTGTGGCCAGTGGTACAAACACATAGATTTAACTTAAAACTGTGTGGTTTCTAGTTTGTTGTTTTTTTTTCCTGGTTCTAGGGATGAATTTCCAGTTCACTACAATAATAGCTTCTCTGCCTTCAGATTGACCTGGCTGGACTTTCAAAGGGCTGATCACGTGAGAATTGTTTCTGAAACCAGAGGTTGTGATAATTGCTCCTCTGCTGAAAAGCCTGCTGAGTAAATTGATYTCCTTGTGTGATCAGAGCAGTTTGACAGCACTGACAGCCAACATGAGGAGTTGTTCCTAACCAGTGGTTCATTCTGAGGCTTTTTTTTTTCCTCAGCTATGCTCACACAGCTCTGTGAAAAATTTTATGAAGTGTTTTATGAGCATTATCCAAGCACTGTTGAATCTGATATGT